GATCAATTTTCATTTAAATCGACAATATTTCGTAAAAATCTCGGAAAGCTTAAAAAAGCGTATGAAAAATTAAAAAACGTAAATTAGGAGTTTCTATCGACAGTAGTATCTCCAACAATTATCAACATTCTTCGATAAAATATTCAAAACTTCTAATTGATAAATGTACTTTTTAATGAGAGCAAAAAAACAACCCGAAATTATCGTTCTGCTTTTCAAGTATTTGAACAGACGTAACTCTTTAATAGCGTGTTTCGTCCAGCTTCATTGAAATATCCTTATAAGAATAGTTACCTTTCTTCCGGTATGAGCGCGATACCGTGTGGCTCATCTTGGAAATAGAAGGTCGTCTTCTCGCTGGTGTTCAGACTATGAACTTCGATAGTTTTGTGCTTCACATCCAGCAAATAGAGATTGTTCCCGATGTAATCGAAGTCCATTCCGCCCAATAGTTTATCCTCGATGGGCATCATAGTCTTCACTTCCCCGGTCTGCGTGTCGAAATGGAAAATCATGTCCGTCAGCTGATCGCTGGCCAGCAGACCACCTGTGCCAATTTTCCTTCGATAACATCAGAAATATCGTGCAAAAATGGAAAGTTGGTGGGCCACGTGAAACAGGCAACCTAATTATCTTCTTTGGTTACGGTGGTACGAGAAATTTTTTATACGTAACTCGAATGGTTTCAAAGGGTGAGTAAGAGATGGAAGAAAAATTTTCTCGATGGAAGAAATGACGAAGAATGAAAGGAAGTTTCACATTTGATTGAAATTTTTTAAATCCAAAGCCATATTATTATGCACGTTTAAATGCACATCAATGTCTGTTAAAATATTAAAAAAAAATATAGGTGACATTGAAAAAAAGGATAGAAAAAATGGCGTTTATTAAAAAATTTGCCTTCCATATTATTTGTCCTTTGAAACTATTGCAGTTACGTATCAAAATTTTCTCGGAACCACCATAGCTAGAGAAGATAATTAAAAACGGTCTGCTTTGCGTGGCCCACCCGGTATATTAATGTAACGATATAAATATGTTCCTGAATTTTTATAGGCTCTGAGAAGTAAACAGTACTTTGTAATAAAATTAAACAAATTCATACGCTATATTGTTGCTTTTGAAAGATTCTTGATTCTTCAAATGCGTGAATATTTCTTACGGCAAGTACTATATTTATTCGATTGATAAGCACGAACGAGATATTTAAGGTAGATCGATTATTCAAACCGTACCGGTAAAAGGATCATAAGTAACCGCGGTGACGTGTTTCAGCGTGGCACTGGACGTTATTTTCGGTTTTCCCAGTAGCTCGTGATAGTAATCGATGAACGTGTTTCCCGCAGCGATTACCAAATGCGCCTTCTTCTTCATGGCTGAAATTTATCCAATTCGTAAGACGTTCGACAAAAGTAGTTTCTTTTTAACACGTTTGTTGCTGTAACATTTTAATTCTTCTATGCATTCTACATAGTATTCTATAATACTTCTATGTATTAGACAAATTTTTGCGATGAAATTTCTCTACAGTTTACAACAATCGAATTATTTTACACAGAAATAAATATTTTCCACTTTTTCAGGTGTTCAATCGAATATCCTAAAAGTTTCGAAAAGGTCGAATTCGATTATTTCGCAAAAATCACCTTAATCACATTTTCAGCGAGTTACAAGACTATCTGGAAATTTTTCCCCATTTATCACTTCGATTATTTTAACAATAACTAATATTAGATCATTCCATAAATTCGTGTTGAATTTTATAATTTAGATCAATATTTCCCTAAGATTTTCCCTAATTTTTTTTTTTTTGGCTTTCGGCACGAACTTACGAGATGACCTGATATACATATGTAATGCTAGTAACAAACGTGTTAATTTATCTACCAAAATTTTAAATAATCTTTCTTTTATTTTCTTCAATGTATAAGTAAAGAATATTTACCACGACACGTGCGCTGATCAGAATTCAATTCTTTATCCACCGTGCAAGCACAAGTATAGCTGTTCTCCGAGTTCAATAGGCAAAGCTGGTCGCAGGGGTTCGAATTGCACGGATTCGGCAACTGTCATCGAGCAATTAATAATCTTATCCTACTGTGTTCACGAGCGAACGAATGAAAACGAGATGGAGATATTGTAGAAAATTACCTTCGGTTTCAAAATGGAATGATAGATGTGTATGCCGTAAATGGTGCTATTCGCATTCACTAGAATTTCCCAATTTTTCCCGGTGAATTTATCGCACGATTGTATGGTATTGGATATCCAATCGCTCCAGTACAATTTATTCTCGAACACCGCTAATGAAAATGGCTTCTTTGCTACTCCTTTTAATACAATCTGAGAAAAATGGGGAATTAATCATATTTTTTTTTCTTTTTAATGCAATTATCGGGTTTCTCTTAATGATTCTGGAAATAATGAAATATACCCTGCGATCTGTACCATCCAGTCGTATCGATTCAATCACTTTTAACTTGCTATCTATCCAGTATAATCGATTGTTCGCGTAATCAATGGATAAACTGTTTGGCCATTCTAAGTCTTTCTCGATTAACACGGTGCTGTTCTTTCCATCCATTCCCGCCATTAATATGCAGGAATTCATGCCCCATTCGGTCCAGTACATTAGGCTGAAAACGTGTAATTTGATCATTTGCATTTCTCTTAAATATTACCTACCTTGGAAAAATTTAATTAATTTTTTTTAATAGTGAAGAGTATGTTTCGAAAGATGGAAAATGCGCTATTTTCCGTGAAGGTATTGGAAATACTTCCGAATTGAAATCGTTCAATTTGTTAGACCATAAATACCCACCCACTGGATGGTAACAAGGCAAGACCTCTTGGCTTATCGTTTCGTTCTTTGATTATAATGGTACAATAAGAACCATCGTTGTTACAAACTCCAACGTGCATGTAACCACTGTCTGTGAAATATATATTTCCTGTTACCCAATCCACTGCTATGTCGTCAGGACTGCTTAAACCTGAGAAATTATGAGAAAGATGCAAATAATTGTAAATATAAGAATGTAAAAATATAAAATATAAAAGTGTGAAAATATGTAAGATCTCCTCTTTTTTTTTTCTAAGTTTATGTACGATAATTAAATGAAGAAATCTAAGTAACAATAAAATAAATAAATGAAGAATACGTAATCTGAAAATCCAGATATAAACTTGTAAATGTACGCTAAGAAATTGAGAATAGGACAGAACTTTGTACAACTGATACAATTTACCAGTTGTAACAATGACTTCTCGCTCCGAGCCATCCTCCAAACTTCTGAATATCGCTTCATCTCCGTTCTCGATGTCGGACCAATACACATAATTCGCATCCAACGAAACAGCCACGGCGTGTTGCAAGTTTCGTGTTACCGGATAATACACTTGAGAATCGAGATAGTAGCCGTGGATCTCTGATTTAATTGAAAACACCATCAAAGCTTCGCCACCTGTAGGTAAATAGTAAGGGATAATTTAATTAGGAATAGATTAATTAGAAACAGCTTCGTTCGAGTAGAACAATTGAAAATTACAGCTGAATAAGCTGTATGTATATGTTAGAAATGGTGGAAAAATTAAGGAATCGACATTTTTGTTTTTCTTTCATACTACGTTAAGCAATATCTTGTAAGCGAAAATAGTATAAACATTTCTAGACTAAAGAAGTTTCTACCGAATTTTCCACGTTTCTCTTTTTTCTCCTCTATTGTTCACAGAATAACAATTATAGAATATCAAAGAGAGATTTAAGTACCCTCTGCTTTGCAAGTTTTCTTATCGTCGTTCAATAAGTAACCAGATTGACACAAGCATATGTAAGATCCTAGGGTATTCACGCATCGTTGATCGCATCTTCCGTATTCCTCGCACTCATTCACATCTGTAAAGTAATCATTTTGAAACAACACATTTGAAACTTTTCATTACAAACGTAATTTCGTTTATTTAAATCTAGATTAGATTTAAATGTTTTTCTATTATCATTGTTTAATATTAATTTTCGATATTATTTAAATCGAATTTTCTTTCTAATGTCAATTTTCCAATTATTACCCGCGCAAGTACGATTGTCCATCAACTTGTAACCAGATCGACAAGAACACTGAGCGCCTTCCGGTGTTTTCCTACAGTGATGCTCGCATTTTGCTGTCTGTTTGCACGTTTCAACAGCTGCAATTAGAAGTAATTAGAAAAAAAATCAGAAATTTTAAATTCACAAGGAAAATGAAACTTTGCAATATAAAAATCTGTTATAGGCATGAAAACCTATAGTAGAAACTACTGCAACTACGATCTTATTTAACGCTCACCCTTTTTACACTGATCAACATTCTCGTCCGAATGATCACCGCAGTCGTCTTTTCCATTGCAAGTTAGGTCCAAACTGATGCATCGTTGATTTTTGCACAAGTATCGATCGTAATTATTTGTACACTGGTCGATCGGTATCGTTTGATTGTCTGTAAAACATGTGAGATTGTAATAATAACATTGCAACTAGTGAAACTGATTTAACGCTAGAAAATCGTAACGGATGGTGTGAAATTTACCGCATTTTCCTTCGTCGCTTTTATCAGGACAATCTGCGACACCGTCGCAAACCCATTCGTTTCTTATGCAATGACCGTCGTTGCATCGGAAAGTATCGCATTTTAACTGTTGCAGTTACAAAAATATACAATTCAGAGAAGTTGGAAAGATATTTAATAGGAATAAGAGTGCTATATCTTATCATTTTATCTCTTAAGGTAGAAATGATAAATGGATAATTCGATTAATAAAATGTTTCAGATTTTCTACTGTACCGATGAATGCATAGAAAGTGCAATTTTTAACAGAATCTTCAAATTTTTCATATTAATATTAATAATTTATCTCTTAAGGTCGAAATGATAAATGGATAATTCGATTAATAAAATGTTTCAGATTTTGCCGTATTGATGAACGAAGAAAAAGTGCAATTTTCAACGGAATCTCAAATTTGTAATATTAATAACTAAAGTGAACCTTACATCTTTAACGCAATTATCGTACTCGTCAGATTCATCGGGGCAATCGGGTCTGGCGTCGCAGAACTTTTCAATTGGTATGCAAGAACGATCGAAACATTGGAACTCGTCTGTGGCGCACCGAATCGTTTCTGGAGCAATCTGTGGTAAACGAATCGATCTTAATTACGTATTAAGCGCACATTACCGTTTCATCGATAAATACACCATTAAATACCCTCAAAATAATTACTATCGCATATGCCTGAATTTCGACGATAAAGGGGAACGTGTTTTGTATGTTTAATATAATTGAAAATTTAATGCTTAATTTACGATAAATCAATATCCAAGGTAGAATTTAAAGTTATTCAAATAACTTTCACTTTTAATTATTTAATGGTCTTTGATGGTCCACGGTGTTACTATGGAATATATTGCTGCTAATCTGTTTCTTTTTTTTTTTTTTGATAATTTTCGTAATGAAAATTATGAAATTATGAATTTATGAAAAAATTACTTGGATGCCTTGACAATGTATTTCGTCGGAATCATCGCCGCAGTCGTTCTCTCCATCGCATCTGAACACGGATGAAATGCATTTTTTATTGTCGCATGAGAACCATTCCGGGGCATCGCAGCGTATAACTTCAGATTAGAGAAAAGAGAAACGTGAAAATAAGAGTGGTTACCAGATCGAATTGTTATTAGATTTAATTGCAATATTATGTACAAGTTGAACTTACTCGAGGTATCGATGTGTGTATAGATGGTGCTCAGAACAAGTACCACGAACAATTTACGATACATGATCTATAAACATTTGGATAAATTCGTTTTAGTTTCGAGCCATTGAGCTGGAATCGTTCTTGATTTTCTCGGTCGATAATATTCGATCGAAAAAAAAACGTAACAGATAATTAATAATTTAACAACAAAGATTTGCAATTTAATATTATTCTTCAAGTGGCACGAGAAATATTTCTATTCGATTCCATGAATTATTTATGTGATCGATGTTTGTAACATAAATTATCTGACCAGCATTAACATAACCTACATGTGCAACATTAGTTTTGAATTTTTTTTTAGTATTTCTAATTCTTAGAATTTTTCGTAATGAAATTTCACGGAAAAAGAACCTAATGAACAATAAATTAGAAAATAATTAGCGATGTTAGTGTGAGATAAAAGAAATTTCAATTTAAGGCGTATGTTACTACAATTACCCGCGTAAAGCACACGATATCCGGCAAAGTGGTAATGAAAAATATTTCAAGGCGAACATAGTAAAGGTAAAAACAAACTATATGTACCTTCGTTTCGAATACTTCCACGAAAAAATATTTGTACACGAAAATTGTTAGAAAAACGGAATTTCTATTAATGTTCACAGTTAATAGAAATTGTGAGATGAGATT